ATTTGTTTGATTTGCTAGAGAATTTTTGGTTTTTGAAAAATCACCCCCCCCTGTAAAATGTAGCTCGCACATTACTGCGTTAGCCAATAGTGCGACGCATTTTCTTATGATTTTTCAAAGCCTACTTTGACAACGATATGCAATTGAATGTTTTTTTCCATATATTTTTTTTTTGTTTTCAACATTCATTTATTGTCAGGAACAACAAATAGGACACATGAAATGACGAAGAAGAAGATGGAAACATTTTTAGTTCTTACACTGGGAATCGTTCAAAAACCGACCAAACGATGTCAGAATCCGGAAAATAAGAATACAAAGGATCGGTAAGTTTTTTTTTGCATTGCAATTTCTTCATTGTGAAATGAATTTTAATTTTATCGTATCTGATTTGTATCGATCAGTTTTCTAGTTTTCCCCAACTATGAACCGGTCCACAATCGTATTCTTCACCGGTACAAATTAAATGAATATCCTCCATCGGCCGTCTCCCGTAGTTTACTCCGTCTACGAGTAATTTACGTTGTGTGAGTAAGTGTCGTTTGGTTTTATTCATTGTAGACCGATTGATATATTAATGGTGATATTTTTTTTCTTTCCATTCTTTTTTTTATTGAAATGGCACCAAGTGCTATTCTATAGTAAGAATTTTGTTTTTCTTTTTCTTCCACAACAGAACGCGATTCTCAACACTTCTACCAAATCTCAAATTAAAGCAATGTTGTTTCAAATGTGTGACGATTACTTTGCTCTTAAACTATACATATTTGATTTTCATTATATGTTTCCATTACTTCCATTACGGTCCATGGCCTGGAAATGCCTATGTAATTTACATATAAACGAGTGAGACTCAAACATGTTCTTCTTTTTCCATCGAATATACCAGTGGCGCCACCAATTTTACATATAAGCGCATACAAAATTTTCAATATGGCTGCGCCCATGAGAGAGAAAATTTCGTCTCATTCATTTCCGCCCCATGTTACGGTCCATTACATATTGATCAATTTTCATTATTTCCATTCTTTTCTTTGTGATTAACGCTAGGCAGAAGAAAAACGCCAGTAAACGTTTATTGACGGTTGAAACGTGTCATCATTATTTGAATATAAATGCTAATGAAGTGCCTAGATATCGATGTGATTTTAAGTGCTGTCCTCCAATCCGAGATGCAGAAAATCAAAAGGCACTTTGGAATGGTTTAAAATCGGGTGACATCGATATGATTGTTTCCGATCATTCGCCAAGTACAGTTGAGATGAAATTGTTAGTCCCAACTGGGCGCAACTATGGCAATTTTATCAAAGCATGGGGTGGAATTTCATCCGTTCAGTTTGGTATGTATCTGATATCATTTTCGTATTTGAAAAGAAATTTTAAAGAAAGAAAAAAAATTTAATTGAAAAGAATAATTTCAATGTCATCTTTATTTAGGTTTATCGTTATTCTGGACAAATTGTCAGACATTTGGTTTGAATATCAACGATTTGCTTCGTTTAATGTGTGAGGAACCAGCAAAACTGTGTAAATTTAATGATCGGAAAGGAAAATTGGCAAAAGGATACGATGCTGATTTGTGTATTTGGAATCCAGAAGCTGAATTCACGGTCACACCAGACATTATTCATTTTCGCAACAAATCCAACCCATACATGGGAAAACGATTGAAGGGATTAGTGCATGCAACAATCGTGCGAGGACAGTTTGCCTATAAACGCACAACGGGAGAAATATTTAATTTCGTTGGCCGTTTATTAAGATAAATTATAATAAAATTCAAATAAAAGATTTAATTCGAAATGTTAACCGACACGAAAGTTATTTAATCGAGTTAATTGTTTTAGTTAATACTTTTAAACAAAGAAAATTGTACATGAATTAAAGATAATTGCCGTGACAACATATAATAAAAACGTCAAAAGTTTCTTTTCTCGAATTGATGACGTAAAACGATATTAATGACAAAAATTGGTGAATAAACAGAAGCTCAACAACTGGTTATGCTGAATTAGTATCGAAAAGGGAAGAGAGGTGGAAGGAAAACACAAAAATATTAATTAAAACGCGTATATACATTATACATTCAGGTGGAACGAGAGCGAGATAGTTAGTGGAGAGAGAAATTGAATCAATACGGAAAATGATAGAAAATAACGACTTGTGCGATTTACGAATTATATTGCATGTTGAACGTGAGCAAATGTAAAATTCCCGACGTTCAATTCGCGTCGTCATCGTGCACATGACATCGAAAAACCTCTCTTTGGATTTGAATTCTTTCTCACACAAAAAAGAGATTGTGAACGAACAGCAGTAGAAGCAGCAGCATAGAATAACAAAAAGCTTTACTGAAAAATTAGCAACATTTTCGTTCGATCTGTGTCTATTGTGTTATTGTTGACGCGATGACGTCATTGGTGTTATGCGTTTGTATGTCACATGCTTACGTCAGCCGTGGGCTGAGTAGAATGTTCGCGCGAGAGCAGAATATTAATACTTACGTTCGCGCAATTCTACTCACTCACGCGCCCGCTGTCTCTTTCACTCCAAATGCCCAACCGTGTAAGCACAACGAGCAAAGGCACTTCGTCACGAGCAGTAACCACAACCACGGAAACGTTGACGGCGATGATAATGATTTGAACAGATTGAATAGACAATTTAGAGTTTTTCTGATATTGGAGTTCTCGAGCTGGGTCGATTTTCACACACATGTGCTGCTTTGTACACGATTTATACATTATCAGTTCAGTTTTAGATTTCATTTTGCCAATCAAAATCCATCATTCATTCCATTACATATGTGTATGTGTGTGTATGTGAGTGATTGCAAACTGTTTGATAACTATTTACCTTGCCTTAACTTTCGTGATGTATGCCAAGCTATAAAACGGCTCCAATTTTGTATTTCATATGCTACATTCGAGAGAAAGCAAAAGTCTTGCTCGTCATATTTTGATTGCGCAGTAGTTTTGGGCATGATGGAGGTGTTGAAAGGACACCCGATAATAATTTGGATTGTGTCGTCAACATTGCAAATACATTCGTTAATGTTTATTATTACATTTGTTATCAGCAAAAAAAAAAACTATTTATTGCCATCAACTATTGCTTATGTCTTCCACATGACTCTTTTGTATTCAATCCAAAGTCAGCCTTACAAATGGAAAATTTCAATTTTTAATACGAAGAAATAAAGAGTTTCACAAGACAATTTGGTTATAAAAGGAAGGAGTAAAGCGAGACGGGATAGAAAAAAGAATGAGAGCACGATAAAGACTAAGAAAAGTGCGAGTGAAATAAGCGTATGGTAATTAAATCGCTCCGAAATCATAACAAAATAGCAAAACAAAGCAGTAAAAATGAGAAAACAAATTTCACCAATCGTATGTGTATTTACAAAAATGAATGTGCGAGCGATGACTATGTACGAACCATATAACACATTGCGAAACACTAAGAAACAGATACACAATGATGGAGGAAAACAACAC